AAAAAAAAAAAAAGTTAACTACTTTAATACTTACAAGAAACGAGAAAAAGGGCTTACTACATTGAATTATTTTTAAATTGACCAAAAAGTTGATAAAATATGTTGTTTTTACCGTTTTCACATTCTTGTGAAAGTAACTGGTCAATTGACTTTGCGTGTGGGAGCGCTTCATCCTAATATAAAACTGCCGCAAAAAGATCTCTCTTGTCGTACAGCGCAAAGCGACTCCCGCTACTAGTTATACGTAGTTTGAGATGTAATTTATAATCAACAACTTCAAACACCGTTAAATGAATTCTTCAGAATTAAGGAGATGAAAATCACACTTATCATCAATTTTAGTTCTTCGTTTATTCATTTTTATGGTTCTATTCAGTCATGGAAATTCATATTCAATGCATAGGTTTCCACGCGAAATACTGACGTGACCCAGTTTTACAACGCTACTGCTTTCACAAAACTCACCCGTAAATCAATAGAAAATCTTCTCCAAGTTTATAAAATCAACGAAGTCCACTTTATTTGCTCCTTTTTTATCAGTGAATATTCGTAAACTATAAAAACAAACAACAGGCGGTCTGAATTTCGGAACATGAAGTGATAGAGAAAGTGTATTCTTGACACGTGATTAAATGGTGTCAAGAACAGTTGCCTCGTTTCGCTTTGTCTCTTATACTTCAAATAAGGCACAGAGCTGCGAAAACGAGGCACTCACAGGGAGATAGTAACTGCAGTACTGCTGGTTATTTTTAGGCATACGCGCATGCGTATTTCCGATACTACTAAATCAAGTGCTCAGAAGCATGGGATTACGTATGTAAACAGAAAATGCCATATTTGCTTAGAAATAAATATAATTTTCAGTTAGCACAAGTGAAAATATACTTTGTTGTTCCATATAGCACAGCGAGGCGGTGCTTTTGACAAATTTCAGCGAGGCGCTTGCAAATATCAGCGAGGCGGGCGCCTCGCTCATTTAAGTGCAGGGGAAACACTGGCTATATATCTGCCATACTGGTACAGCTGGCAAAGTGCACTAGAATCCAAATTAATGAAAGGTACATTACCTTATTTCAACGTAAGTTAACTCATACAAACAAAACTGTTTGACAGTTACTATCATATAATATTTATTTGAGCACTTAATCTTATTTTTTCCGTTCAAGTTCCGGAGACAGAAACTACACGGAACAGACAAGTCACGATTGCAATCCAAGAGAAGTGTACACAAAACAAGGCTGCAGCCTGCATTAATAAAACTTTTACTCCTAACTAGTAATTGGTCAACCATGAAGCAGATGTCAATAAAATATTAAACCCAATAATGTCTAAATTTGAAAAAAAAAAAAAAAAAAGTAAAACATACCGGAAAAAGAGTTTCTTATACCAACCTAGAAAATATTTAGCATTTGGCTAAAACTGGCTTTGCTGAATTCAGGCCAGGCACCTGATTGTCACAGAAATGTATTTTTTTTTTTTTTTTTTGTGTGTGTGTGTGTGTGTGTGTGTGTGTGTGTGTGTGTGCGCATGCATGTACACGTGTGCATCTATCTGTGTGTGCATGGGGACATCCCTCTCGTAAAACAGTGCCATTCTGAAATATTAATCAATATTGTCCTCTGTGTCAACATAGCACCAGACGTTTCATGCGTAAACTGTTCTGACATACTGTTACTGAAGTATTAGCAAGAAAACCTACAGGACGTTGAGGAAAATTAATGAGGATATTTTGTTATCTGTAAAAGAGTATCATCTGAACTGAGAACCCCCCCCTCTCCCTCTGTCACCTCACTATACACTGCATAGCTATAGGTTTGTGAGCCCTTGGTCTCTGCTTTGCTGCCTCAGTTTATAGTTTTAACTATAAAAAGCTGACATTTTCTCTCTCTATGTCCCCTTACTAAACACTGCCTAGCTATAAGTTTGTGAGCCCTTGGTCTCTGCTTTGCTGCCTCAGTTTATAGTTTTAACTATAGAAAGCTGACATTTATGTTGAGCTCTCTCTCTCTCTCTCTCTATCTCAAAAAAATAATAATAAAAAAAAATAAATAAAAAGCTGACATTTATGTTGAGCTCTCTCTCTCTCTCTCTCTCTCTCAAAAAAAAAAAAAAAAAAATTGTATTCCATGTATTTCAAGCTTGGCTTACACTAGTGTTAGCTGTCTTCCTGTGCTCTGTAAGTTGGTTATTTCTGGCGCAGTTCTGGGGAGACAGGTGTCTTGTTTTCTGGTGCAGTCACTGTGAGGAAACTAAAAACCGTCTACGACTGCAGGATTTCTGGTACGTCTGAACAGTAGAAACCACTCAGACTACAGTACTCAGACTGCTCCAGTCTGGAAGGAAATTCAGTGGTAAGATTGAGAATAAGAGCACTTGTCACTGCAACTTTCCTCTGCAGCTGCTTGGTAAATCTACTGTTGGCAAAATCTTAAGTATCAAGGTCCACAGTTCTCTTTGAACAATGCTGTGGCTCTCAAAGAACCTGCTTAAAAACAATGAGATCACTGATGACCCGACCTTCCCTCAGGGTGAAGGTCATTTCTCATGAGACCTGTGGTAAAAGCTGGGGAAAAATCTGACTTAACAGCTGCGTTCAGAAATGATCTACGGTACTAGACTGACGTGGGCTGAAGTACAGGACTAGTGCAGTTCTCTTTTCTTCCACAGTCAATGAAAAGCCATAAATCAGGTCTTAGATGATAATTACATCATGAATATCACATGAAGGACAACTTCACAAATAATGGCTTTATCCAATAAATATCAATACTTAATGATGCCCCATAGATCAATGTGNTGTGCATCTATCTGTGTGTGCATGGGGACATCCCTCTCGTAAAACAGTGCCATTCTGAAATATTAATCAATATTGTCCTCTGTGTCAACATAGCACCAGACGTTTCATGCGTAAACTGTTCTGACATACTGTTACTGAAGTATTAGCAAGAAAACCTACCGGACGTTGAGGAAAATTAATGAGGATATTTTGTTATCTGTAAAAGAGTATCATCTGAAATGAGAACCCCCCCTCTCCCTCTGTCACCTCACTATACACTGCCTAGCTATAGGTTTGTGAGCCCTTGGTCTCTGCTTTGCTGCCTCAGTTTATAGTTTTAACTATAAAAAGCTGACATTTATGTTGAGCTCTCTCTCTCTCTCTCTCTATCTCAAAAAAATAATAATAAAAAAAAATAAATAAAAAGCTGACATTTATGTTGAGCTCTCTCTCTCTCTCTCTCTCTCTCTCTCTCTCTCTCTCTCTCTCTCTCAAAAAAAAAAAAAAATTGTATTCCATGTATTTCAAGCTTGGCTTACACTAGTGTTAGCTGTCTTCCTGTGCTCTGTAAGTTGGTTATTTCTGGCGCAGTTCTGGGGAGACAGGTGTCTTGTTTTCTGGTGCAGTCACTGTGAGGAAACTAAAAACCGTCTACGACTGCAGGATTTCTGGTACGTCTGAACAGTAGAAACCACTCAGACTGCTCCAGTCTGGAAGGAAATTCAGTGGTAAGATTGAGAATAAGAGCACTTGTCACGAGTGCCTGAGATGTGATCACTGCAACTTTCCTCTGCAGCTGCTTGGTAAATCTACTGTTGGCAAAATCTTAAGTATCAAGGTCCACAGTTCTCTTTGCACAATGCTGTGGCTCTTAAAGAACCTGCTTAAAAACAATGAGATCACTGATGACCCGACCTTCCCTCAGGGTGAAGGTCATTTCTCATGAGACCTATGGTAAAAGCTTGGGAAAAATCTGACTTAACAGCTGCGTTCAGAAATGATCTACGGTACTAGACTGGAGTGGGCTGAAGTACAGGACTAGTGCAGTTCTCTTCTTCCATATTCAAATTTTAATTAAATGAAAAGCCATAAATCAGGTCTTAGATGAAAGTTACATCATGAATATCACATGAAGGACAACTTCACAAATAATGGCTTCATCCAATAAATATCAATACTTAATGATGCCCCATAGATCAATGTGAAAAGAAAAACATATTCATGAGACCGGTGTCATCCCAACATGCACCTTGTGGTAAGGAAATATTAGCACATGTCCTAGTACAGTATTATTGACTGCCACACAGTTGCTAGCTGGCAGAAATTAATGTTAGAGTATTAATCAGAAAATTTGCAAAGTTCGTCTTTTAAACTTCCCATTGTGTAATGAACGTATACATTTCTACTGCACTCCAACCTACATGTTCAATTATTGAAAGCTATATATTAGCCTGTTTATTTCAAGAAAACCTGAAACTCTCCGTAGAAACCATTCTCCATGATAGAGAATGTGGCAAACTATAAAAAAGTTACATACTCAGCAATTAAATTGGCACCTTTCTTGCAAGGATAAATCACTAAATATTTTAAAGCAGCTATAGGCAGCTGGCAGAGGCTGATAAATGATGCCAACACTGAATACATCATAACATAAATACTGAGGAATTATTCTAAAAGCAAGAACAATTTGCAAACAGAGAGACAAGACACCAATACAGATAAATTACTGTTTCTGAGAATCACAGATTTTAAAATAATAATTTTCTCAAGCCACTTATGATACATGACCTCTATATCTCAATCATACAGAGGACTCCTGCAGATATTTGAAGACACGTACTAGTACACAGGTTCCAGAGTGTGTTTACAGAGTTCCCACATGTCAAAAACAGCAATGATGCACGCTACATAAGGCCAGGACTGGTACAATACAGACAAAACAAAATGTTTCTTCCAGTCAGAAATCCCCAGAACAGGATAACAGCTGCCTTGAGTGATGTTTATTACAAAGAGAGAGTCAAATTCTTATAACCTGCAGGCAAACAAGACCTAGAGAAAACTCACGATATATATACATGATGGGTAATTAATGTTTTGTAATCTGAATCCCATGTGCAAATAACTTAATAAACTTAATTAATATATCAGTGATCTCATCACCTAACACACGTCATGTGTGAACAAGAAATAAGGAATGGTGAAGAAATCGCAATGGACTATTAAGTCATAAATAGCTCCTGGTATCTCTTGGTTATTTTTCTGGTACTAGTAAGTCTGGAATCAACACAGCAGAACAGGATGGAGCAAAGGTTACTAGTACACATGTATATAGAAGTCACTTCCTGTGGTGGTTACTAGTACTAAAGGTAATAAAAGTAATGAGGTTCTAGATTTGAATCATCATGTCAACATATCTTCTGGAAAATAAACCTTGACTAGAATGTAAATACTGGATTCACCTAACAAACTCTTAAGACTGCATTCACAACGATTTGAGCCAGGCTTTACAAATCCTAGGACTAAATATGGCGGACGTACTCGAAAGGAAAACCGCCTAATCTTTTAATAGTCTCTCCGCCTCTCACACGCTCCCCACATGTCATCCCTGTGGGGTACAGTCATTAAATCTCGGCTACGTTCACCATGTGGAAGCTACCTGAGAAAAAGAAATGAATTGGCTCGTAGCGCAGCTATGAATCGGGATCGGGATCGGGATCCAGTTCGATCAGGCGTAGGGAACAAGGCAAACATCAGCATCAGAACGAACTGCAACCCTCTGACGTGACTGCATAGGCAAAAATTCTGCCCTCCTCCTCCGTCTACTGGGGCTGGGTATCTCCGTGAATATCTCCGTGAATATCTCTGGTGACATTATCTCTGTAGATAGCCGATTCATCGCTGCTCTACGGGCCAATTCATTTCTTTTTCGTTTCCTTTTTGAAAGATAATAGAACAGAAGAGCTTTTTTCCTTCGATCGCCTCCATCCGCCACGCTTTCTTCACCTCAAGTTTAATTGATGAGCATGAGCACTTAATATTTCTCAGGTAGCTTCCACATGGCGAACAGAGCCGAGATTTAATGACTGTACCCCGCAGGGACGACGTGTGGGGAGGTGTGTGAGAGGCAGAGAGACTTTTAAAAGATTAGGCGGTTTTCCTTTCATGTACGTCGGCCATATTTAGTCCCAGGATTTTTAAAGCCTGGCTCAAATCGTTGTGAATGTGGTCTAAGACTGGATGCACACAAAAACTCTAAGACTGGATTCACCTAATAAACTCTAAGACTGGATTCACCTAACAAACTCTAAGACTGGATTCACCTAACAAACTCCAAGACTGGATTCACCTAATAAACTTTAAGGCTGGATCCACCTAACAAACTCTAAGACTGGGGATTTACCTACTTGTAACAAACTCTAAGACTGGATTCACCTAATAAACTCTAAGACTGGATTCACCTAATAAACTCTAAGACTGGATTCACCTAACAAACTCTAAGACTGGATTCACCTAATAAACTTTAAGGCTGGATCCACCTAACAAACTCTAAGACTGGGGATTTACCTACTTGTAACAAGCTCTAAGACTGGATACACCTAATAAACTCAAAGACTGGATTCACCTAATAAACTCTAACACCCCATTTCCATAGATTAGATCGACCTACTTTAGATCGACCTAACTCCCTGGGGGTTCACACTAAATAGCTGTCAGCCGGGCGGACACGAAAGTTAATTGCCCTCTTACAGCTTGTAGTAGGCGGGACGAACATTTAAGTCGGATTATCTGAAAGTAATCTAGCGAGACTCCCCGCGGGGATAGATCGATCTAAAATCTATGAGAATAGAGCCTAAGACTACACAATGGGTGGCCTCAGTGGCCAGATTGATAATAGGGATGACATCTGTCCCATCACAAACAATAGTCGTATTAGCCTCTTATTCCTCCTGTCTTATTTGTTTCATTGTTTTTGTTTTGTTTTGTTCTGTATTGTGTGTGTGTGCGTGTATGTGTGTAGAATTAGTTTTGTACAGCCTGTAATATGTTGACATTTTACAGTTCATTGAAGTATTATTATTATTTAAATCCCTATTTAATACATTTCCTGTCACGGCCTGATGGTGTGTATTGCGGAGCCATGTTAAGGGTGCTTTCCCAGAGATTTAGATCGATCTAAAGATTAAGAATTAGATCGACCTAACTCCCTGGGGGTTCACGCTAAATTGCAGTCAGCTGAGCGGGCACCATAGTTAATTACCCCCTTACAGCTTTTAGTAGGCGGGACAGACACTTAAGCTGGCCAAGCTGACAGTAATCTAGTGAGCCCCCCACAGGGCTGGATCGATCTAAAAATCTATGGAAATGGGGTGAAAGACAACAGCACCCTAGCACCCCCTACTAACCCCTGCTGATTGATGGAACAGATAAAATTCCCCTTTCCAAGCTGAATTAACAGAAAATGAGCAGCTCATGTTGCTAACAAATTTTGCGGCATTAATTCATGACTTCCTATGACATAGTGACCATTTTGGAGGATAATGCATAATAAACTATGTATAAAATGTGTACATTAAGTGTGTGCTACGAAAAATGTCAGAGGGAGCTTTTTCATAATTTTTTACCTCTTTTGCTTGATATGCATGTACTAGTACTTAGTATAATCCAATAATTTTGCAGAATCTCTGACACCAGAAGAATAATAGAAAAAACATATCCCACTTGATTCTGAATAGCAGCGTCCGTCAATCCTTTATCATCTTGTATAAACTGATGTCATCATCTTGAAATTATATCATTCACGTGTGAATCTGATATTTTTGAAGAATTTGAACTCCATTTAATCATCAGATGTCTACTAGTAAGTTATCTGCGCTAGATATGCTGTAGATCTATTTAGGCTCTGTTCTCACAACTTTTAGATCGATCTATCACCGCGGGGAGTCTCACTAGATTACTGTCAGATAATCCCCCTTAAGTGTCCGTCCCCGCCTACTACAAGCTTTAAGGGGTAATTAACTTTCGTGTCCGCCCGGCTGACAGCTATTTAGCGTGAACCCCCAGGGAGTTAGGTCGATCCAATGTAGGTCGATCTAATCTATGAGAATGGGGTGTAAGTCTCAGATCATTTAACCTTCAATGGCAAGGCTGAACCAATAAACTTTTCCTAATTAATCCATCCACCCTTTCCTACAGTTTGAGTGTAATACAGGATATATTTTATTATATACTGTACGCGGTCATAATAAATTATGTATGTACCTATGTATACAGAATATATTATATATTATTGCAAACGGTCATAACAATTTGTGTATGTGCATATGTATACAGGATATGTTGTACACAGACAGTCATAATAAATAATGCATGTACTAGTACCAGTACAAGAATAATCTAAACTGAGCTGCATGTCAATCCCGTCTCTTTCCTTTATACAGTGACATGTGGACCTAATCACCACAACAGAAATGTAGTTAACTATTAGTCACAGGTGGTTTTATTACACATTACATATTTCCCCACAAGGGTCTTGTTTCCTAATACTTTGTTCTAACTCAAGCAGATTTTGTGTTTGTTTAGCTTTATTTTGAGTGAACTCTTACAAAGGATAATTCCAATGGGAGTCACACTCCCAGATTTCTTATTAAATCAAGTGTAAAGTGACGAGGGCACAGCATACAGACTACAGACCAGATTGGGGCTACTGATACAGTGATTTACAGATGCTACATTATTCAATCATAATTTCTTAAAATTAAAATATTCCTATTGAGTGAAAACATCAAAATTTAAAGCAGAGTGCTCCAGAGTTCTATTAAATGCAGCAAAAGCACAACAAATGGCAAAATTACAAAATTATGTAATTTCTGCTCATTAAAAAAATTGAGTAATAACATACTGCATTTGATTTCACCAAGCTGCATTGCTTTATTTCCCTATATTTCCAGCATTACCAATACCAAAACAAGAAGTTTATGTTTTCCTGAGTGAGTATCAAATTGTAATTAGTGTCAAACTCATCAAAGCCCCCAGCAGCTACAAACTGTGTACCCTCATTTTTTAATAATCTTCCAGAGCTATTTTAAAATATTATCTTACTTAAATGCTACTGTGCTGGTTGTTTCCTAGACAAGAAAACAAAATTACAGAAATTAAAGCGGGCATTGGTAAGTTTCTATCAATTTGTATAGAAGGCCATCAAAGTACAGTTCAACAGAGAAGGCAGGCTATGTACATGTACGATGCAGTCAATTAAGTATAAATTACTAATAAGTGAAGATCTTGCTATCACTTAAAACTTTAACAGCTAGCATCACTGGAAAACTGGAAACATTTTATAGTTCATGTTGTATCTGAACTCTGGAAATGGTGATAGAATCACTGGAAAACTGAAACCATTTTATAGTTCAAGTTGTATCTGAACTCTGGAAATGGTGATAGCATCACTGGAAAACTGAAACCATTTTATAGTTCATGTTGTACCTGAACTCTGGAAATGGTGATCACTTAACAAAGTTAATCAAAAAATAAATAAATAAATAAATAAAAACACCCAAGAACCCAAAATTTAAGTGTATATAACAGATGATAGTTTTATGAAGTGAAATATTCATCAGTGGCAATAGTCAGATTGGTACAAGTTTTAGTCACACGTCTGTTTTTGTTTCATCATTCAATATCCCATTTGCATGATTTAGCCCAATATGTGGATTTAGACATTTATTATATCATAGTCTTCATCTTTTATTCAAGTGACTGTGAATGTTATGCAAAGATATAAAATGTGTTTTATAGAGAGCTCGTAAAATATATCTGTACACATTTAACAGCACTCAATTCAGTATAAATTATTTATTATTATAAATAATCTTCAGCAAGTAGTCTTGACAGACTGACAGGGGAGAATACAGGGCTGTTAAATGACACCTAGGAGCACATTCAGAACGGCAGACTAACAGATCATGGGATCAAGTATGCCATGGTCAACCCATTTGAACGCTTGTTTCGCAATCCCCGCCGGGAATCTATTTAGCGTCTAATTGGGAATTAAGCCACAAGCTTTTTACTGGGTCGCTATATTTGATCTGCAGATCTGGTACTTAATCTGCTGTTCTGAATGTGTTCTAATAGCACTCCTTTCTCTAAAATATTATATGGATTGCAGCGGCAGATTTAGGCTGTCTTACAGAGGCGGATTTAGGCCATCTTCTGGGTCTTCTGGAAGACGGTCAGATTTTTAAGTTTACATTGATAGGTATCTAATTTTTTCTGTCGGAAGACGGTCAAAATGGAGGATGGATCAACAAAAATAATTTGGAAGACTGTCAGAAAATATCTCTGGATCCACCCCTGGATTGTTTAAGGTGTACATCATTAACTAAAACAGAGTTGAAAAAAAACTTATCTAGTTAAAAAAATATGAACTGTAACCTACAGTTACAACTGTGACTTACTCAAGGATAAAATGGAATATGCGTAAAAGACAACAACAAAACCCATGCAGTATTTCTAAGCTCTAGATATGAGTAGGATACCAGTTCTGGTAAAGGATATTGATATGGAACCAATGCAGTAGTGCTTATATTATATATGGACAACAACGGTCAAATATTAATTAACATTTAACACTAACAGAAGTCACAGTCATGGTGAGAACCATGTTAACATGAACAGTATATTAACTATTGACCCGTGGTAAACCGGGTGGACCATCAATTTAGTTTGTTGTAGTTTGAACATTAATTCATACATATATTGCCATATACTAGTATACTATTATAGTTGATACATCCATAATGTAAAAAAAATGAGTTGGAATAACCCTCTACCGCGGCCAGAGATTGACTTTTCACAGGATATTCACAGATATGTCTTTAATAGATAAATAGTCATTTTACTATCTCTGACCCCCTTTTTTCCCTATAATCTGCCACCCTGGTAGAATGTTAGTTGGAATATATACTAGTAAGTATTTCCTGTGGACTACACTTTGCACAGCTTATTGGTTACTACATGGTTACCAGTTCATGCACTTCGTTTTAACAAAGTCACATGGATGATCATCAAGTGCCCCCCCCCCCCACACACACACACACACACACACACACACAGATATCAGACAGTAACATCCTGGTGTAACCAGAAAGTTTTCACTTGGCCTCAGTCCTAGATTTTCTCTCACTCTAAGACTAGATAGACTACTTTTATAGCCATACATTTCTCTTCACTTCACCTACATTTCCTCTCTTCCTGTCCACTAACCAGAATTGTTATGCTATACATCACATTTTCCTATACATCAGGCCATGACATCCTGGTTATATGTAACCAAAGCAAGTTTTCACTACAGCAATACTTTCTCTTGCTCTAGCTACAATATATCATACCATGTGTTTTCACTTCACTTCACCCATATTTTTCTCTCTCTCTAGTTAGAATTATGTCAAGTCTACAGTGTGGGAATGATATACCTGCAACTCTGCTTAGTTTTTCCACTCTAGGAATTGTATACAGACTCTGGATCAACAGAAACTGTAAATAATGTTAATTTTTGTTCTATATTGATGTAAAGCACCCATACATGCATGGCTAAAAGGCCTGAAATGGCTCCGTTCTACAATAAACTTCAGAAAATCTTGATAAATGTCCAGAAACCTTATAAATGTGCCCTCTGAAACATACCAGAATGTTTACGAATCAACCAGCTGTGTTGGGTTGGGTTGGTGACATACTAATAAGCTACATTCAGAGTGGTGTAAAATATGTACCAATGGCAAAGCCTCAAGGTCAGTTTCAGGTCAAGCTGACCAGGGAAAAATATATCTATCGTAGGATATAATTCTCCGAGCTGACCCAGTTAACAAGTTGAGGATTAAACATTTACTACAGACTGAACATCTACTTCATACATACATACATACAGTATTATATATACACTGTATCTGCACACAGACACATATTGAACTATTCCATTGAACATTCCAACTGTTGACCTTTGGTATGAAAACAGTTGTTTCACATACCAATTAAGCCATTTACCTACAGATCAATACACGTTGAGTAACATGGTAGTCAATAGGCATTTTATCCCCTCTCTTTTCTGATCACAATTGGATACCCCCGTAATGAAAACACATCTGTGAACTTTATATCAAGACAGAAATGACATAAAGAAATAAATGAAAAATATGTTGCAGAGGTTATCTTGCTTTAATGAATATAAACTTAACTTTTGATACCAGGTACAAAAGACTAAACTTAACATTATGATTAATGAATATATCATAGATCTATAGGTTATATATAGTAAATGCATATATCATAGATCTGTACATTATATATTAAATTTATAAATATACAATTAATGCATATATATTTAAAAGATTTATACATATACAATCTTCTCAGAATCTTATTCCACAAAACCTCAAGTTATACAGATGCAGTTGGGAGATAAAAAGGTCGTTTTTGGTTTCAGGAATTTCTCATTCCCCACATCAGTACAATTGTTGTAGAATTGTGTAGCTATACTGAAAGGGATGACTAACCTGCATCTTGACATTTTCACTTCTTGCTTTCTCCAGAAAAAATTGAATTTGGTGGGATAATCCCGTTTCCAGGATACCTTTAATCAAATATTCTTCACAGTATTTTCCCCAAATAGTTTTTTATCTACCGGATCATGTTACCCATTTATCTGTTCAATGTTGATAATCATGCCTACCCAACTATCAGACTTGGCACCAAATGATCCCGCATTCACCGGTAGATCAGACCACACTACCCATTTTCAAGGTGTGTGTCAGTACGCATTTCACAGTATCATACCCCAGAACTAATTCTGAGATGAGATGAGCTACTTTCCAACCCCGCTGAGACAGTCACATTGCATACTAGGCAAGGGCAGTGTCACGTCTGATGCACACCTTGAAAGATAAACCTGATTTCTTACATTTAGTTAGCCCTATAATTTTTATGTGATATAGAATCCAAAAATTTAGGTGATTTGGTCGAAGCTGATTTGATATGCATATATATAAGTCTTTACCCCAGTAAAAGTACTGTAAGTCTCTCGTCATTTGATATTTTAGATTAGTAGGTCCACCACCCTTTGTCTCCTTCACTCGCGGTCCCTGTCTCCAACACTTAACTTAATGTTGTGAATGAAATAACCTCAGTAAATGTCCTTACAGGATATGCAGCAAGCTGTTAAGCTGCAGCTGTTCAGATTAAACGCATGGCCCAAAAAGCTGGATCTGGATCTAGTGTTTTAACCCTAAGACCTTGCTATCGTGGTGCATGCTGCCATTGACGCCCCCCCCCCCTCCAGTTACTAGAACATTAACATGAACTAAAACATGAAATCCATCTTCCTCTTAATTTTTGAAAACTGAATTATCTTTTCTAAGACAATGAATAAAATGAAAGAAAATAAAGGAGGGCGTGTTTTTGTTGCAGATCACGGATAATTACACAGTCCAATGCACCGACTTCTTGTAAGGTTATCGCACTCATACTTCTTTCTACATAGAAATACCTTGAACGTAAAATACAAACATATTACTGCTTCATTTAACGTCCAAACAAAATCACAAACCTTTTCTTTTTCTCTTCAGCTTTGCAGCGGTGCCTCGAGGCGACGAACCTCTCATTCATTTGTGAGTATCGATGTCGTGTTGAAAAGGACAACTTTAATGTATTTCCAAGAAAAGCCATTCCCATTTTGTCATCCGAAAAGAAATAACAATTATAAGTAAAACGCACAGGTAGAAAAATCAATTGGTACTTCAAATAAAATAAACGTTTCTCATAAGTTTCTCAAATTACGATGTGAGTAAAATAAACAATAGGAAAGACAGTCATTAAACGTTTAAAAATCTTGTTATTAAAGTGCCTACAGAATAAATGCAATGCTATATAAATAGTGACGATGGTAAGATTGTTATTACTGACTTTTGCAAGCCATATTTCTTGCTCATAATGGCTAGGATTTGATTGAAAATAGAGACTGCGAACCTTATTACATACCATATTGTATATTATACACACCCAGCTTTTGGATACAGCACTTCTGCAGGTGGCAATTGTGATATTGCAGTAGGTGGGACGCGGTTTACTTCACAACGACATTTTGCAATCTTCACTGGAGTAGTAAGGGCTTTATTGAGATACTTCAAGCAAACAAAAGTCCTTCAGACTCAGCTTACTCCTTAGCATATTTAGTATATTTCTTTAGATATTATTGAATTTTAATATAATTACATGTGCACTACTTGAAATGGTAGCCTGGGACCTACCCGATACATGTAGGCCTATGTTAAAGAAGACCAGCACGGCTGCGGTAGCGGTACTTTTGTATGTGTGCATATAGTGGCATTTGGGGCGATTTTTTTAAAAAAATCCACACCATAAGCGTTAATCTAATAATTTGAGTGTAGAACTTTCTGTTCGCTTAAATCATGGTGGCAGCAAGGAGTAGATTAATTAATGCCACATACGAAGATAGGCCATTATTTCCACTGGGTCCCTGACATCTGACATGCACGACCGCAAACTACGATAACTGATTTAAGACGTCTAGAACAGAACGGCCAGGCCCGTAATCCGGGGGAGAAGAGGGGTCGGGGGGTTCAAAAGACCCCCCCCCCCCCCCTTTTTGCCGGGAAAATGTCCCCTCTGAATAAAATTTTATCTAAGTACAAGATTTCATGGTAAAAGGTCCACCTTTTCAGATAAAGAACCTCCCTTTTGAAATTGCTGCCTACGGGACTGGAACGCAACATATATTCAGTCTACTTTGTCAGCTTTGTGTGTGTAATTCCGCAGTTTCCATGCAATAGACCCAGTTGGACAGGACTGATAAACTGGGATTATAAGACTGAACCGGTCACTGGTACACTGTGAGAACTCGTCCAGCTGACCACATATATAGTAATAGTATATTCATTGTAGGCCCTAGTAAAGCTGCTGCAGCCGAGGACTCGGCACCAACATGACGGCTATGGAAAGCACCCTTGGTTTTCTGGTTTTTATTTTTCTTTCAATTGGATACGCAAACTCTCTGACTGGGTAAGAAGTGGATACTGCCATCTTCTCATAGTTTGGGCAATACAAAGATATTAATGACCACCAGTTCTCCATACCAGCAAGCCGTCGCATGTTTCTTCTCTGATATCTTGATCTTGTCAGTGTCTTGTGTTGGTTCCTGGTCCAATGAAATTCAGGCAAACTTTCTACGTTTTCTGGATGTCTAATGAATAACAATTTAAAGCTCCTCTTTGTAGGAATGTCTGCACCGAGACCAGAAGCAGAACAGTGACGGTTTATGCTCAGGTCAGTCGACAGCAGTATCAGAAATACACCACCAAGTGCAATCTCTGGAGCAGATGTACCCGCTATAGGTAAATACGGGATGGCCAGTGAGGATGTCTTTTCTTATTTATTATTACATGTATGCTGTGTTATGTATTGTGCTATGTAAAGTAGGCCGACCGCGTTATGATGTGTTAAATTTTTTGGGATCCAGATGGTGATCTAGATTATCACCAAAATTTTACCACTTCTAAGTTCGAGAATTTCTGCTGTAGCATGCTAAATTTTATCAAAATCCTCTTTAGTTTCTATGGTGGCAAACAGACAAACGGAGGAGAAAGCATAAGGTATGCCGGTATGAAATAATAATAATACAAAACAGCAAAAATTCTCGAACTTAGAAGTGGTAAAATTTTGGTGATAATCTAGATCACCATCTGGATCCCAAAAAATTTAATGCATGCATATGATACCTCGCCATTGCGAGGTAGGACAAAGTTGGTATTTTTTTTTACAAATTCATAAAAAAAGGGAGTTTAGTGAAATAATAGTGAAAAATAGTTCCCTTTGGCGGGAGTCTGCGGTTTCTGTGTGATTTTCTAGTTGCATCTGCCAATGAGGCCTTGTTGTCACCTACTCCAATATTATATGAAGTATTGTGTATTGATCGTAACCACAAGTTCCAGTGAATGTTTTAGCAATTGCATCAGGATCGCACACAGTGTATTTAATTGTACGGAGTCTCGTATTTTGTTTTTTGTTTTGTTGTTGTTTTTATTCTTCTCGATAAAAATGCCAAATGAACACCCCAGTACTGTATTCCAGGTCTGTGACAGTGTATTTATCAGAGCCGAGACAACAGACCCAGTATTACGCAGTACAGCAGTGCTGTCCTGGATGGAAACAGACGGGAGAATCCTGCGCCACATGTTTGTATAGCCAAATGAAGACCAAATGAAGACCGTTTTTTATTATAAATAATTAAATACTATTAATGGAGATCAATAAGTGCGCGTTAAGTGTGACCGTCGCGATCTCACTTTACTTTCATTTTCCCTTTGCGACGAATGCCCGATGATCATATTTTATGGGCATGTCGATTATGCCCCTGGCCGGGGGGGGGGGGGGGGCTTTTGCTGGGAAAAAGTACGCTCTGGGTAAAATTTTTTCTAGGAACATCAAGGTTTCATATTAAAAGGTTC